TTGATGCTAAGTGGTAAGGAAACTGATTTCGCATCGGACCTTAGTGGACTATTACGTTACAAGGGGAGAGTGTGTGTACCTCGTGACGAGGAATTACGGAGAAGTATTTTGGAGGAATTCCATAAGAGTAAGATGAGTTTTCACCCAGGGACAACGAAAATGTACCAAGACTTGAAGAAATTATTTTGGTAGTCTGGGTTGAAGAGAGATGTGGCTTCGTATGTCTCGAGTTGTTTGGTATGTCAGAAAGCCAAGATTGAGCATCAGCGATTAGCGGGAGAGTTACAATCCCTAGAAATTTCCGTTTGGAAGTGAGACAGTATCTCCATGGATTTTGTGTCTGGTTTTCCGAAGACTCAGAAGGGGTACGACTCGATATGGGTAATAGTGGATCGGTTGACGAAGTCGGCTCATTTCTTGCCGATGAATATGAAGTACTCCCTAGAACGATTGGCGGAACTGTATATCCGAGAAATTATTAGATTGCATGGAATACCGTCGAGTATTGTGTCGGATAGGGATCTCCGTTTCACTTCAAACTTTTGGACTAGTTTGCAATCCGCTATGGGAACTAAGTTGAAGCTGAGTTCAGCTTATCATCCACAAACGGACGGTCAATCGGAAAGGACAATACAGTCATTGGAGGATCTTTTGAGGGCTTGTGTCTTAGAACAACCAGGGAGTTGGGATGGCATGTTGCCGTTGATCGAATTTACCTACAATAATAGCTTTCATTCAAGTATTGGGATGGCACCTTATGAGGCGTTGTATGGTAGGAAGTGCCGAACTCCAGTGAGTTGGTTTGAAACTGGGAAGAACTTGATATTGGGGCTCGAAGTGGTTCAAGAGACGACGGATAAGATCAAGAAAATCTGGGAGAATATGAGAATCGTCCAGAGTCGGCAGAAAAGCTATTACGATAAGAGACGGAAACCTCTTGAATTTAATGAGGGAGATCATGTTTTCATGAGAGTAGTCTCGACTACTGGAATTGGTAGAGTGTTGAAATCTCGTAAGCTGACTTCGCGATTTATTCGGCCTTATCAAATACTGAAGAGGGTTGGGCCGGTAGCGTATCGTATTGCCTTACCGCCGTTGTTGTCGAATCTCCACAATGTGTTTCATGTGTCTCAGTTGAGGAAATATGTTGGGGATCCATCTCATGTGGTTGAGTCAGACCAGATAGAGTTGAAGGATAACCTGACTTTTGCGACGTTGCTTGTGAGAATCATGGATATCAGTATCAAAATATTGAGGGGCAAAGAGATTCCTTTGGTGAAAGTGTTGTGGAGTCAAGTAGACGAATGGGATGCTACTTGGGAGGTGGAACGTGATATGAGGGAGGATTACCCTCATTTGTTCGAATCAAGATATGTTTAATTTTCGGGGACAAAATTTTTTATAAGAGGGGGATGATTGTAACACCCTAAATTTTAAGTCTTTAAAATTATAGTATCAGTCCTGGGATCCTCGCTTGAGCGAAAGATTCTCGCCTGGGCGAGAGAGGCTCACTTGGGAGGGTGAAATCCTGGGGTATACTGGAAGATTCTCACCTGAGCGAGGAAGGACATTTTGGACTATTGACGCTGTGAGATTCTCGCTTGAGCGAGAGGGTCAGATATGGATTTTTAAAATGGGAGGGATTTTCTCGCTTGAGCGAGAATAAGCTCGCTTAAGCGAGAACCCGACGAGACAACATTTAATGAGAAACCCTAAACACATTTTAGGGTTAAGAATTAAAGATAGGTGAGAGAATAGAGCTTTTCCAAGGGCAAGGAGCTTTGATACTCACCCAAGAACTTGAGAAGAGATCCTAACGTTGGAGGCGGTGCCGGTGGAACTTGAGAAATTGCCAAGAACCAAACCCAACACTCACCGAGGTAAGGATAAGTCTTTATTTGTGCAGATGGAATAGAAAATGTGTATTTTCTGGTTATGCAATGGTTGAGTTGTAAATTACGCATTTAGTATAAACATATATAGGTGTGTTTATGCTAAAGTAGGCGTAGATTTACGGAAAAAGGAAAATATGTGTATTTCCTAGTTATGCAAAGATTGAGTGGTAAATTACGCATTTAGTATAAACATATATGGGTGTGTTTATATTAAAGTAGGCGTAGATTTACGGAAAAAGGAAAATATGTGTATTTCCTAGTTATGCAAAGATTGAGTGGTAAATTACGCATTTAGTATAAACATATATGGGTGTGTTTATATTAAAGTAGGCGTAGATTTACGAAAAAGGAAAAATATATTTTAGCCGACCATTAATGGTTAGCGACTCTGGCTTGAGTATAGAAGCAAACACTCTGGCTTGAGTATAGAAGCATACACTCTGGCTTGAGTATAGAAGCGTACACTCTGGCTTGAGTATAGAAGCGTACACTCTGGCTTGAGTATAGAAGCAAACACTCTGGCTTGAGTATAGAAGCATACACTCTGGCTTGAGTATAGAAGCAAACACGTTGGCTTGAGTATAGAAGCAAACACTCTAGCTTGAGTATAGAAGCAAAAACTCTGGCTTGAGTATAGAAGCATACACTCTGGCTTGAGTATATAAGCGTGATTTGTTTTAAGAAATATGGGAATCTGCTTTTAGCTAACCCTAATGGGTGTAGCGACTTTGACTCAAGTTATGCAGCAAGACAAAAAATGAATTTCGAAAATGGTTTACTAACCCCTATTTCCTAATGTGGATTATCTTATAATGACGTTTATTGAATTAACGACTTACTCCTTTGTGTGTTTGTGTTCTTGTCTTTGATAATCTCATTGCAGATAAACAGGTGACATGAGGGGACTTATTTTTGGGAAGCTTAGGGAGCTTATATTTTGAATTCATTTATTTGCACTATTTGTATATGAGTGCATTTTTGATAGTTTCAAAACAATGTGTAATTATGACTATATGATAATTGATATTAAGTGTAACCCTGGATATGTGTAGCTATTGGTGATTTGGAATTCATAGCTAGTTATATGCGGTGGTTACCAAATTACGTGGAATGAATTATGATTTTCTGTTAAGTGGAGTTCATAAAAGTATGAAGAGGTGGAATGAATATGACTAAGTAAATAAGATTAAAATGAAAGGAATGTATGCGGGAAGAGTAAATAAGGGAAAAATTTCAAGAGTAGAATTTCAGTCTTTACAAATATAATATAGGAGCACACTAATTGGGGACCTCACAACACAAATTCCACAAGGGAAATTCAATTTCACCTATCAAACCAACTACAACCTAAATTGGCAGGAAGACACAATAAGAATAAACATGCACAAAATTTTCAGTCCAACCTTGAGGACAATGTTGCTCTCCAAGGGATCGACAAATGTTGGGCTGTTTGAGCCCAATAACATTGTTAAGGATACCGCATCCAGATCCAAGAAAATAACTCATCCACCAATCAAGTTTAAAGATTATGATTAGATTATGTTTTGAAGATATAGAATCTTATTTATCTAATTTTAAATAGATTGGACTTAGGTTTATAGGTTCATGACCTCCTATTCAACACTATTTAAAGTATGTTAATCCTGATTAGAGGACATAAAATTGTCTTATCCTTTAATATTTTATAGTTTTTTTATAATCCTTATTTTCTTCGTTGCTACCATTAAACCTAAGAATAATGAAGAAAGAAAGAAATAGCAATCTTCTCATTCATATTTGGTTTGATGATTTAACTTTTCTCCTAGTTCCCAATCACATTCTATATTATATTTACATGCGGGGTAGTGCTTATATGCAATTATGGTATATTGAATGTGGTCAATTTGTTATAAAATAGCAATCTTCTCCTTCAAAATTGTTTAGTTAGTTGTTCATTTTTTGAAAAACATATTGTCAAAAACAAATTAAACTATTTAAATATTTTTATTAAATACTATTTGGGTCGATCCGTTTCAATCCCGAATCTGTATATAGTGGATTTGTGGTGCAATTTGAGAGAATAGAATGAAACAAAACTTTTTAACCCGGTCCAATTTAATCCAAGTCTAATATGGGCTGGCCTAAACCCATTAAATGACATTTTTATGTTGTATTGTTAGCTCATGAATCTCTTTTGAAAAGTATCCTAATATCTCACTAATCAGCAAAATACCTTAAAATCATAAAGTCTTATCATGTTCTTATTTTCTCATGAAATTTTCAGTAGGCCGGCCACGTCAACTTGATAGAGTCATTTTTAAAGGTGACCCATAACAAATAACCTAGGTACACCTGCGGGGCCCACTTAATAATTAATTGAATGTATACCATATTTTTTTTGGGGTGTACAACTGAATGTATAAATGTGAGGAAAACTTAGGTTCAAGATCTATTTTTGTTGTGTGATGTTATTGATTAAATTTTAATTATAATTAATTTTTTCATGTGTTATCAAGATTTTATTAGTTATCTTTACCTAAATATGTTTCTATACAATTTTTTCTTCTATATGTTCATGAAGGTCTTTATCTTTGTTTTTAAGTATATTCATATTAAACTTTTAAATTAATTTAAATCAACAGTAAAAGTTATTGGGTAACACGCATTGTAATTCCATAGGTATAGTATCATTTCTCCTACATGCCTTTGCATAGAAATGTACAAGATTTTCAAACTTCGAATAAATTATCTATAGAATTACATTGAATTAAATTTTGGTTAAAATATTGATCACCTTTGGATTAGGGAAATAGTTATAAAATAGAGATAAAGAAATGTAGTTGATCTCCACACAATCTGTTCCATCTCGAGTTTGGTTTCATTAAAAGATATACAAAATACAAATAGAAGCAAAAGGAAATTGTAATCTAATTTCTACTTCGAGAGCCATAATGCATTCCATGGCTCTTAAAAAAATAAAAGTTTTTTCCTTCAAATAAACCTTCCTTGCAGCATGTTCATTAGTATCACATTGTAAAATACTATGTACCAGTTTTAACTAAACAAGCCAAACTCAATAAAGGAAGCCAATAAAGAGTCTCAGTTTCAGTGTGCGAAAAATAAAATTGGCTTCGCCCGGGTGGGTTCGAACCGGAGACCTTCAGTGTGTTAGACTGACGTGATAACCAACTACACCACGAAACCGTTTCATGAAAGGTTTACTTATTATATTAAGATATATATATTCTGGATATTACCCTATATCATTCAATCAACTGATATCCTATTTGATAGAAGTTCTAAAATAGCTAATCTTCAAAGTACTAGGCAACGCATTGGGAAATACACAATCCTCTTGGACTTCATATACTTGTATTTAAGTATTGAGTAAAGAGTCATTTAAATTATGTGTGTCAAATTCATTAGAAAATCTAAATAAATTAAATGTGTCAAATTAGTTATTTTAATATCTTTTATGATTTTGATAAAGAATGTTTTGACTCACATTTTCGACCTTTGAGTATTAATTTAGATTTTTACTTTTTTCGAGTACCAAAGTGATATACTTGAAAATTTATAAGGACCAAATTGGATAACAACTCTTAAATATTTTGCAATTCTTTTAAATTGTATACCGCATCACCTAATTTGGCTAGGATATTGTAGTGACCGTCGAAATCGCACACTAAATCACAATGATACAACTGCATTGGATTGTACTAGACCACATTTGGGGTTGTATCGGAACATATCAAATTCAAAAATATTTTTTTTAATCATAAATATATTCCCAAACATATGTAATAGGCATCGCAATGACAAGTATGACTGCAATTGCAATAATCACTGTCATAATCACAATTTAAAAAACAACTAGTATAAGCAATCAAAATAACAAGATTGAGATACAGTGATGCATGTCGGGTGATGATCTTCTATACCACTATTTCTCTATTCATCTATACCAAACCAATAGGGTATTGACACCTAAATAAAATTTATATGTAATTTTATTTATCATCTTTCAAAAAGCAATAACAACATTAATTGACTCATGCAATATACATAGTTTTAAGTGAGTCATTTATGCACTTTTCAATGTTTGTTTTTTTGTTGTTGAAAAAACCAGCTTTTCAGAAAGTGAGTATCTTTAACTTGTGTGCTATAGCTAAATTACAAACTTACAGAATTATAGTTGTGTTCCTAGCAATGAATGTCTTTCACACACCATAAGATTCAAAACTATATGCACCATTGTTGTGATCCAAATTGAAATGAAATGTTGTTCCTTCAGTTTAAATGCCATCAATTGCATCAGAAACCAAGATCTTACTTATTACTGAGATACCCTATGATGTGAATAAATGTAAAGAACACGTGTCTTAGCTTCAATATCTTTTAAACATAAAAGGACAAAAAATTATAAAATAAATTAAACCAACAAATCAAAAAATAGTTATGCTTTGAACTTTGCAAATCACCATGGCTAGCTTTCAAGCTTGTGAGACAGAATGAGAGAAAAAGAAATAAAGCTGTAATGAATGATTTGAGGAATTGATTCTCATTCAACTTGATTAAACAATACAAGGAAGAATCAACTATATATAGGAAGTTAGTTAAATAACTAACGTATGCACATTGAAATTACAAAGCTACCCCTTTCTATTACAATCAACTTTTAACTACTAATAATAGCTTCTAAGTAACCTATGCATCATTTTAAACAAAGGTGACTTATAGATTGGGAAGCTTCTTGACTAAATCAGTCTTCAATGTTAATTGCATACATTAATACATTAATGCATATAAATGAAAAATGTTATTGTGACACATAACTATTTTGATTTACAAATGAGTTTGCCAACCAACATAGTCACATTATTCTAATTCTTAAGAGTTAAGATTATATATAGTCTGACTTTATCTTATTTTTTTAATATAATAATATTTAAATAAAATATGTTGTTAATAACATTTAAAATTTCTTATCATCTATTTAATTTTTAGGATGGGTTTAAAACCCATGTATATGACACTCCAAAATATTTTTCTTTGATCATCTCTACAATTTTTACTTATTAAACATGATAATAATTTACAATATGATTAGTCATTGAATTCAATAACTTGGTTATATTTTACGAAATCCTGGGCTATACTGAAGGATCCTCGCTTGAGCGAGAATGGTCTCGCTTGATCGAGGGTGGTCTCGCTTGAGCGAGAGTTGTCTCGCCTCGGCGAGAAAAGTGGCATTCAGGACCTATCGAGTCTTTGAGATTCTCGCCTGAGCGAGAGGAACCTCTCTTGAGCGAGAGCGTCAGATCTGAAATTTTAAAAAGGCGGGATTTTCTCGCCTGAGCGAAAATGGGCTCGCTTGAGCGAGAACCCGACGATTTCACTTTAAAATAGAAACCCCAAACACATTTTAGGGTTAGAAATTGAGAGATAAGAGAGGAGAAGGTGATTTTGAGTGCAAGAACTCGTGGAAATCATCTAGAAGCTTGAGAAGAGGTAAATCTCTTGACTCTAACTCTCTTTCTCACTTTCAAACTCGTTTTTGGGTGTATGGATCTCTTCTCAATGTATGAGAAACCATAGAAACTCTTCCTTTAGAGTTATGGTTCGTTTTATGTGGTTTTTCTCTTGTAAACTCTTGGTTTAGAGTTGGTATTTGATGAATGGAAAGGTTTTGTTGGTTATTCATGAAAACCCCAAAAACCCCCCAAAATGAGAACATGAGTAAAAAGGGAAATGTGTGAAATGTTGAATGTGGATGATGAGTTTGTGCTTTAATGTTGATATATGAGATGAACATGTATGTTTAGATGTTTGGAAACTTGTATTGAAGTAGTTTTGGAAACCTTGAAAATATGTGAATCCCTTGTATGTTTGATGATGAAATATGAGTTGTTTATGTGTTATTTTGAATACATGACTGACATTGTTGTTATTGGTGGGAATGAAGAAAGATCCTAAGGTTGGAGGAAATCGTGGAGGAGACTTTTAAAGTTACTCGGAACCGACCCTCAACGCTCACCAAGGTAAGTGATAAGTGTTTCTAACTTATATGAGCTGACGTGAATGAGGTATGTGAAGGAGGTAATATGTTTGTAAGATATTGTTGTTACCCTACCCGAAGTGGTAGTGGTTTATTGTTGTTACCCTACCCAAAGTGATAGTGGTTTATTGCTGTTGCCCTACCCGAAGTGGTAGTGGTTTATTGTTGTTACCCTACCCAAAGTGGTAGTGGTTTATTGTTGTTATCCTACCCGTAGTGGTAGTGGATTATTGTTGTTGTCCTACCCGGAGTGGTATTGGATTAATGTTGTTGTCCTACCCGGAGTGGTAGTGGATTATTGTGGTATAGACTTGCCTGATGTGGTATGGATAATTAACTAGACCTGTCCGATGTGGTATGGGGAATGAACTAGACTTGCCCGATGTGGTATGGATAATTAACTAGACATGCCCGATGTGGTATGAGGAATGAACTAGACTTGCCCGATGTGGTATGGATGATGAACTAGACTTGCCCGATGTGGTATGGAGAATAAACTAGACCTACCCGATGTGGTATGGATAATTAACTAGACATGCCCGATGTGGTATGGGGAATAAACTAGACATGCCCGATGTGGTATGGATAATTAATTAGACCTGCCCGATGTGGTATGGGGAATGAACTAGACCTGCCCGATGTGGTATGGATAATTAACTAGACCTGTCTAATGTGGTATGGGGAATGAACTAGACCTGCCCGATGTGGTATGGATAATTAACTAGACATGCCCAATGTGGTATGGGGAATGAACTAGACCTGCCCGATGTGATATGGATAATTAACTAGACATGCCCAATGTGGTATGGGGAATGAACTAGACTTGCCCGATGTGGTATGGATGATGAACTAGACCTGTCCGATATGGTATGGAGAATAAACTAGACCTACCCAATGTGGTATGGATAATTAACTAGACCTTCCCGATGTGGTATGGGGAATAAACTAGACTTGCCCAATGTGGTATGGATAATTAATTAGACATGCCCGATGTGGTATGGGGAATGAACTAGATCTGCCCGATGTGGTATGGATAATTAACTAGACCTGCCCAATGTGATATGGGGAATGAACTAGACCTGCCCAGTGTTGTAGGGATGATTAACTCGACCTGCCTGATGTGGTATGGAGAATAAACTAGACATGCCCGATGTGGTATGGAGAATTAACTAGACTTACCCGACGTGGTAGAGGATTATCTTTGTGAAAGAACCCGGTGAATACGATTAAGGGTGAACATGATTAATGGGAAATGAGTGTGTCAGAATGAAAGTAATATGTCTGCTATATAATATATATATTATGGGATATATACACTATATGGTGAATATGAATGATGAGAAATGAGGATGTTTAGAATGAAAGTAATATGCATGCTATAGAATATATATATTATGGGATATATATATATATATATATATACACTATAGGGTGAATATGAAAGATGAGAAACGATGATTTTTGGAATGAAAGTAATATGCATGCTATAGAATATATATTATGAGATATATATACTATAAAATGAATATGAATAATATGGAAATGAAAGAAAGAATATATGAATGTTTACATTTACGTGCTTGTGGTTATAATTTATTTCAATGCTTAATCATATTTAAACTGTGGATTATCATGTAAAGTTAGTCTTGAACTAATGACTTACTCCCTTGTTTTTGTGTGTTGTTTATGATAATCCCATTGTAGGTAAATGAATGATTTGAGAAGGAAGCTCACTTAGGAATCTTATGTGTTTATTAACTTGGATTTCTTTATCTTTACTTTGGCATTGTAGTTGACTAGATAATATTTTGGGATGAATGTAATTCTAATTATGGTAACACTAGAGATGTGTAGTTATGGACATTATGATTCTTAGGAACCCATAACCAGTTGTATGCGGTAGTTACTAAGGGTTAATTGAATGAATTATGATTTTCTGCAATATGAGTTATATGATAATGTAATAGGTTAAAAGAGTGGTTTCACGGAATGGTTAATGAGAGATTTGAGTAAGATGATGAATGTATGTAAGAAATGATTATAATAAATAAAAATAAAGGAAAAATTTTCAATGGTAGAATTTGGGTCCTTACACGTTCTCTTTAACAACACTCCTTTTTCGATGCGTTGTTAATTGGAATCTATT